TGGGAAATTTCCCAGCTTTCAGTTGATTCATGAGAATTATCTTCTGATAGTAAACTACAGAAACCACCCTATAAAGTAGATTTAGGTTCTGTTAAATATAAAGCATTTTCATAAACAAAATATCAGATCAACATTATAAAAAAGTACAGAGAAGTATAAATGAAAAGCTGGACTTATTAGCATGTAGGTTTTCTCCATTGTTAGAAGTATTAATTGTTTGCCTTTCAACAAATGATTAAAGTATACACTAAGAAAAGTAAGCATATGTAGCTTTCCTCTTTTTAACATAATTTGTAACAAAAACTCTGTGACTCCCAGTTAAGTTAGCTTTTTATAATTGTTCCCAAATGTTTGCTTTAAAACTTTTTTGTTACTTTCCAGGGAATTGTGTGCTAGGTTTAATCACGAGGACACAAGTTTGTTTGTGTTGAGAGTAATGGTTGGTGTAGTTATCCTCTATGACCACGTCCATCCTGCAGGTGCCTTTGTTAAATCTTCACATATAGATGTAAGTTGTGGGATTTTTTTTTTCGTTATGCCTAATTCAACATTATTATGAGTATATCGTTTTATTATTGGTTTATCTTGTAGATTAGGAATGTGTTAAAAATGGGAAATTAGTGTTTTATGAATTAATGTTTTGTACTGTATGTGAAACTCCGGGCCTTATTCACTCTAATAAATTCATTGTTTCTTACTTATTGTGTTTAGAAAATGTTAAATAAATTACAGAACTTGAACAACTAAGTTAATTTGTAAATAGAAAACGGTTCTTAAAACATAAGAAAATAATATACCGCTGACTTATATTTTAACAAGGGTTTTTGCTTTGTTTGTTTTAAAACTTTTTATGTAATTTGTCACGGTGTATGCAAGGTAGGTAAATATGAAATAGATCTTGTTGAAAATTCACACATTTTTCAAGTTCTCAGTTTATACGCCAATCTCAAGAAGTTAATATTCCCTGAAAGTAAAGAATGTCAACTCGTAAAGTTTGCTGCTGCTTTGTTCATTAGTATGGTTATCTTGAAATTAGTAGACAAACATGTTCTTATTATAGTATTGAACAACGTTTAGAGACAAACATTTTTCTACCATTACATCCTGTTCCTAGATAAAAAGTTGCATCAAAGTACTGAAAGAATACCCTCCTGAAGTGGTGGAAAGCTTGTTAAATGCTCTCAGGTAGAACACTTTTTGTATTCTTTTTGTTTTCATTTCATTCATTGTCTTGAATAATCTGTTCTAAACATTTGATGTTTTTCATGACCAGTTGTTTTTCCTAAAAGTTGTTACAAAATGGTTTTAAGATATAGTGTCTCAACTGGACACAATTATACATTTTACATTATTTGTTTCATGAGATATAGCCTACAAATTGTCTTCACGAGTCTTGCTTTTATGTTTTCTGTCCAAAATATCAAGATTTATGATTTACTATATCGAAGAAAAAACTACATTAATGTGATTGTTTTAAATTTGTTGTGAAAAGATTACATTAACCCCTCCCTGTTTTTAGTATGATTATAAAATGAAATTATTAGCACAGTGATAAAACTTAATGATTTTCTTTCAGTCTTTTCCTGCATTTCTTGTTAGCTGTTTAGATGACTGTGTGAAAACAAATATTTTGTTTTTGTAATAAACACCTAAGAAACAAAGTCTCTAGCTAATTGTTGCTACGTTTTTCTTGTAGGTATACCACTATTCATTTAAATGATGAATCTACTCCAAAGCACATCAAGAATATGCTTCAGTAAGTTTGTTGTCAGACTTTCTGAACTAAAGAATAGGAGAGATTCTTACACCGTCTAGTGCAAGATGACTTTGTTGTCATAACATCAGTACTGGAAAACCTTTTAACAGAGACAAACACAGTGTTTGTTAAAGAAATGAACGAACATGTAAACTGGTACCAATCTGAAAGGTGTAAAAAATTTACAAAAACTGAGAAAAAAAAGTGTAGCTTGTATAAACTTAAAGAAATTTAGTGATTGCTCTATGGTTTACCCAAAAATGAACAGGAACATTATAGACAATTAGCTTCTACATTATAGTTCTTAGAGTAAAAAAAATGTTTCTATTCAATTACAAAAAACTAACATTTTCATTATATTTCTATAAAAAAACATGAAGATATTGTGTTTTTATATTTTTTACTCTAAAGTAGAATCGACATTATAGTTGAAAAAAACAGGACTTGTTAGATTTTTTATAATAAAATAGTACCTTTTGAATTGATTTAAAATATGAATATATTGAAATCAGAACAGAAATTACTCTGTAGTTTAAATAAGAACATTAGATTAACTCTACAAAAGTAACATTAATAATGTTTGAACTGGTCTTGAAAGTTAAAATGTTGTTATGAAACTTTATCTTTTCACATTATTATAATTATGATACAAATGTTTGATCCTGTTTAGGGTGATAAGATTTCTGTCACAACCATGAGCCATGTGATGAGATATATAATTCCACAGTGTCATATTGGTCATCTGTCTTTGTCTTCAAGTCTGTCCATCATAATATTTCAGTTTTATTATAGTAGTGACCCTTTTTCATCTTAAGATCTGTTTTTTTATGTTTCCAAAGTATCTTTGCTTCAAGGTTTATCTTCTGATAGTTTTTACAGTATCTGCCTTTATTGTTGTCAGATCTGTGTTTCATGATAATTGCCGTTATCTTATAGGTCATATTTCATTGTTTTTAGACCTATGCTTCTGAATGATTCCACAGTGTCATACTAGTCATCCTTTTGTGTCTTCAGACCTGTGTTGCTTGATGGTCCCACAGTAGCTCACTGGTCATCCTTTTTTTTGTCTTTGGTCTTATGCTACATGGCACTTGATAGAGCAGGTGTGGTTGGTATATTGTTATATGTTCTTATTTCTTTTACTCATAGAATGCCTTTTCGTCATCCTTCTTCAGACCTGTGTTGCTTGATGGTCCCACAGTAGCTTACTGGTCATCCTTTTTTTTGTCTTTGGTCTTATGCTACATGGCACTTGATAGAGCAGGTGTGGTTGGTATATTGTTATATGTTCTTATTTCATTTACTCATAGAATGCCTTTTCGTCATCCTTCTTCATAGCTGTGTTTCTTGATAGTTCCACAGTAGCTTTCTGGTCATCTTTTTTTTTTGTCTTTAGGTCGGTGTTATCATATTGATTTTCTGTCTTTGTCTTTGAACATTTATTGATAATTTTACAATATCTTGCTATAAATTTCCATTGGCAGATCTGGCTGACCAAGATGTTTTAATGTAATTTTTATACCTTTATCTTGCTTGTAGTTTGTTTATATTTTAGGTAAGTGAAGTACATTTTTAATGTTTTATTTTTATGTTTTTATGAATATATTTTATATACCGGTAAATCTCTTCAGTCATCTGTAGAGTGATAAATATTGTTTCTTAATAATTAATCTTTGTATCTTTTGTTGGAACAGGTGTGAAATAAATATTCTATTAATGATGTGTAGTAACATTTTTTACTAGATGTGTGTAAAAGCTCAGTTAGCTGAAGTAAAAATATTTTGTTGAGGACTACTCAATACGTAGTCCAGAAAAGATGGAATCCACTGTAGTTATTTCATAGAGGAGACAGTTTGTTAGCTGTTGTTGTATTAAACATTCCTCAATAGAAGTGATATTTTAGACTTATTGAGCTAGTCTAACTGCTGTGTTAGTATGGAGATCTTCTGATTTATAAGAAATTAGGAAGGTTTTGACTTTGTGAATGGTAAATACAAAAACATAAAAATACAGAATGCAAGAGAGGGGTTATTATTTTTGTCTTGAATATTCTCAGCTATCACTTTTCAACTGCCTTTGTACTTATTATTAGACTAGACTAAATGGTAAATTCTTTCTAGCTCAGTATGTGGTTCTTTGTTTGATGTTGTGAGACATGACTCAACATGTCTGCCTCAAAACAAGGTAAGTTTACCATGATTAGAGCTCTCTATCTGATGCCTGCTGTGGGACAAATAGAGTTGTTAGAAACTTGCAAGCTTGTTAACTAAAGGAGAATTTCCATCCATATATATAGTTTTGTGAGAGGTAAGCCAATTGGATATTTGAACTTGTTTTACCTGAATTGCATTGTTAATGGACTGGATCTGTTCAGCCAGGACATTTATGTTAGACAATGTTTTGAGCTGCTGATATTCAGTATGCGTGTCTTGTAAAATGGTTTGTCTTTGCTCTGTTAGATTACTGAATGTGCTGTTTGTCTTTATAGCACCAAAAAGTAAGGATTTCTTACTTATTTTCTCTTGGGCTTAAGAAAGAACTGATATATGGTAATTACAAACTGTGAAAGGTTGGTCAACAATACTTGGTCAACAGTATTAGTAAGAATAGTTTATGTTAAATATACTGTCTTAAACCTGTTCAATTGGATCAGTCAAGCTTTTACTGACAAGAAATCTAGCTTCATATTTTTCAGTTCACTACAAGCTCTCTCAGTTGCCTTAAGATGTGTATATTTTGCAAATTACAATATATGGTATGTGCTTCATAGATTTCACATATAAACTTCAGTTTTATCTGTGTTAAGTGCAAGTCAAAACATCCATTTTATTACTGTTTTTTCAGGGTGATTTATCATTATGTTAATCTGTTAATGCACAAAAACAAAGGTGCACCTATTAAAATGAATGTTTTAGTTATATTGTTTCCATCCTCTTCTACACAAAGAATATATTTTGGATACAAAAAGACTCGTGTTCAACCTTGTATTTAAAGGTGTAAAAGTTTTGACTTTCTCAGATGTTGACATTACTTAAAGTGAAAACTTTTTCAAAAAGTACAGAAAAACTCAAATATTATACAAATAAATTATGCAATTGTAATATGTTTATAAATTTTCAGTTTTGTAGCAGTTGATGTAAGCTCGTAAATTCATATGTATGTATTGTCTCACAGGTCGTTAGTGAAATGATTGCAGTGAGTTCATAAAGTCAGATATGTATGAATAAGTCAGCGTGATAATAATTTATAAAAGTGTAGGTTTATTAACAGTTGTTCAGCATGGTAACAGTTGATGTGTAATATAGGTTCAATGGTACAGCAGTTGATGTGTGATATAGGTTCAATGGTACAGCAGTTGATGTAATTCTACAAGTCCAGATACATTACTTTGTTAACATCATGTGTAATATAGGTTCAATGGTACAGCAGTTGATGTAATTCTACAAGTCCAGATAGATTAC